CTTTTGGAAGTTCTGGGTCTCTCTGACCCAGCTGCAGTTTGTTAGGTAATTTTCAGATTGCAAAGGGCCAGGCCTTTCATATGCAAAAGCCTCTGCGCACAGCTTGGGTGGGGCGGGGTCTCAAGGGATCAACAGGGCGGAGCAAGCAGCTATGGCTGCTCCTCAGTCCTACCCTAAGAGGCCCCATGTCTCAGTGTCCCGGTAATCGCTGCAAGCACCTCTGAGAGAAAGCCGCTCTTGAGTTCTGACCGATGCCAGACAGTCCAGTTTCTCCCCATATGAGTCTGGATCCCCAGAGACTCACCCAGAACTGGAGTTCAGAGCAGTCAGGAGTTGGAGACTCCCTCCTGATTGAAAAAGACAACTGTATCCTCAGTTGCCAGCCCTCTCCACGTGCGCCTCCGTACCTCTGCACTTTACTTCTGCACTTCCTCTGAGTCTCAGTGTGCTTTTATCTTTCCATCTATTTGTAGGATTTTCACTCAGCCAGCCTTCCTGTGGGGTTCTGGATTGTCTGTTTTGTCTTTTAGTTGTATTTTTGAAGTTGTTGTGTGAGGCAGCAATTTCTGGTGTTTACCTATGCAGCGTTGTATTTTTGAAGTTGTTGTTCGAGGCAGCAATTTCGGGTGTTTACCTATGCAGCCATCTTGGTTTCTCCTCACTTTTCTTTTTTATTTGGTAGCTTAATTCTGACATTCAGTCTATTCAGGTGTAAATTATTGGAAACTAATGAGAGTGTGATATTTTGATTAAATACATATATATTAATCTTTCTCCCAATGTCTGGCACAGAGCTCCTAAATCCTTTGGAATTATTATTTTTTTAATCCTTACCTGAGGATATGCTTATTGATTTGAGAGAGGGTAAGGGGGAGGAAGAGAGAGAGAGATGAGGTGAGACAGAAACATTGATTGGTTGGTTGCCTTCCCAAACTCACCCAGACCAGGAATCAAACTCGCAAGCAACCCAGGTACGTGCCCTGACTGGAAATCAAACTCACAGCCTTCCCATGTATGGGAGGGTGCTCCAACCAACTGAGCCACACTGGCCAGGGCAATGCTTGGAATTTTTTTTTAAATTTTCACCTGAAGATATTTTTATTGATTTTAGAAAGAGGAAGGGAGAGGGAGGGAGGGAGGGAGGGAGGGAGAGAGGGAGAGAGAGAGAGAGAGAA